AGAAAGAGAGAAAGAAAGAAAGAAAGAAAGAAAGAAAGAAAGAAAGAAAGAAAGAAAGAAAGAAAGAAAGAAAAGAAAGAAAAAGAAAAGAAAGAAAAGAAAAGAAAGTTAGTTAGTTTCAGGTATATTTGCTCTTTTCCTTTTCACCTTGGGACAAGTCCATGCATGTATTTTATTTGACCATAGTGGGTAACTGCAAGATTGAGTGCATGCTTTCTGTTTGGGGGAACCCTATCAGATGTTCCGATATATAGGAAGGGACAGTGAACAGGCTTGGGACCTGACTCAGCAGAGGTTCTGCCCTTGTACACTGGGTGACTTCTGCTGAGTGTCTTCCTTCCACTGAGATGTGAAGTAGGACCTGTCCATTCGGTGCAGCAGTGGGTAAGGTCCTGCCCAAGGCCCACAGTGCCTTCAGGGGCCCAGGCAGAGCTTTGGCTTCTCCCCATAAGCAAGATGCATACTTTGACTGCATGGGTAGAAAGATGAGTATGATCTGCTTAGAATGTCTTCATCTTTATACCAATGCAGTCATAAAATACAGTTTTTTAAAAAGAATTATTTAATTTTCATTATTATTATTATTATTTTAGAGAGAGATTTTTGCTATAGGGTGCATGCACTCACCAAAGACAGAAAGTAACAGAGAGGCAAAAAGTGAGAAATCACTCCCCAGGGGAGATGGTCATGCCACAATCCTTTTCCTCCATTCTTCTCTCAGGATCTTAGGCACGCACGCACACGTGCCCAGTGTGAGTTTTAAGTCACCAGGTCCAGGACTTGAACCATGGTCGACTATATGGAAGCCCAGTGATGTAACCATTACACCAAGAGGGTCTCTGGTCCCTCATTATTTTTTTTTTAACCATAGAGAGACAGAGAGAGAGAGGGGGGGAAAATGAAAAGGCAAGCTGCCAATTCTGGGATTCAGACCTCAGTCAGCAATGTAGGAGTTCAATGCCTTAACCACCTCACCACTTGCTGACCTCATAAAATAGTTTTGTGTGTGTGTGTGTGTGTGTGTCTTCAAAAAGTTTATGGAGAATGCATATTATGAAAAAACTATGCATGGATTTCAAAAAATTTTTATACCAGAGTAAACTCATACTTTATTTCCATTTTCTACAAACATTTTGAAATCCCCGTGTGTGTGTATAATATAGGTATAAATATATGTATTATATACATGTGTATATATATATATTTTAAATGAAGAATGGGGTTCACAAGCAAAAGTGTGTAGGGCCCATGAGAATCACGTGGCCCAGGTCTGGGTCCGTATTCCTTTCCTTTATAAAATGAAAGCGTGGTACTGGATCATCAATGGTTCAGCGAATGGATCGGCAGCATTGAGGCAGCATGAGGGGCCTTTGAAAAGCTATCAAAAATATATATTATAAAGAACTATACATAGATTTCAATTTGGGGGGCACCAAAATAAACTTGCACTTTAATTCTATTTTTCCATGAGTTGTTTTTGAAGTGCCCTCCGACTGTAATGAGGACTGGTTATAGCTGTTTTCTTCTCATTTTAGTCAGCAAGAAGTGATCTATAATAGATTAAAATAAAAAGCTGATTTTTTGTCAGAGAGAGAGAAGCATGTAGCTCCACGAGAGAGAGCATGTCTTCCTCCCAAAGGCTTCATCTTGAACTAGTGTTAGGATTTTTAAAGTCCACACATGTGAGCAGCAAAAAAAGATAAAGGTATGCAGTTGGGTCGTCGGAAAAGTCAGGACCCATTTGTACCTAGAAAAACACGTCATGACTTTTCCGACAACCCAGTAGCTAGCCACTCTTCAGTCAGAGAACAAAGCCTCTTAGACACAGGCATAAAAGACCAAACTGATTTCACAGATCTCTCCTTAAAGTTTGTCAGTCGAGGGCCAGCAGATGGCAGATGGTACATTGCTGGACTCCCACACGGCTGGCTGCAGTTCGAGGCCCAGACCCGATAGCTTGAAACTCAACGCCAGGTGTGTGTGCATGCGCAAGATCCCAGGAAGAGAGTGGAGGAGTGAGTGCACATGCCCTAAGGCAAAAACCGCTACAAAACACGGTACGTGTCAGTCATGTGTGTATCTGAGAAGAGGCCAAGCCAGTTAAGGACAGAGGGGCTGCTCTCTTGCTCTGCAATCCAGTGCCCGTGCCCTGTGCGAGGATCAGTATCTGCCATAGCACCAAGTCCTTATCCAGGGTGTGAATCCTAGGTGAGTCGGGCTCACCACCCTGCCCAGAAACACAAGCATTCTAGAGGTTTCTTCATAAATCACGAAATGAAATGGCTGCCCCACTTTAACGGGTGGCATGGAATAAGCAACTGCCCCAGTTCCTTTTCTATCGCCCTCAATCCCTGGCCTCTGTAAAACCTGCGAAAGGAAACCATGTGGGAGACTGTGTCGCCAGCAGTAGGGAATGAATTGAGCCTCTTGAAATTCTTCATGGTACTCCCGAGGGGGCTGTGTTTCTGGCCTTTGGTGGTATAAGCACCATCTGCACTAAGAGGAGCGGTCTGGGTTTGCATCAGAAACTGCCTTTGGCGTCTAAAACAATGCCAGGATCGCCCAGGAAACCAATGCAAAATATTGTGGAACAGGTGAAATACATCGGGCCTGAATCCGGGGACCCCCCAGACACATCAAATCAAGTATTTATTGAGTACATACTTGTGCTACTGCTCTTGAGCTGGGTTGGTGCCCCTGGAACCTTTTGAGCTGCCCGTATCCCCTGAGCACTTGGACTCTCCTTCTGGCAGCCAAGGTGGAGACAGGAGATAGTCTTGTATAGCAGCTTCCCAGTACCAGCCACTGCTCCGAGGCATTCTCTGGGACCAGCCTCTCTGCGCTCTGGCTGTTGTGTTGTGGCTGCTCAGCATGTTGGGGAGGCCTTTGGTCCAGGAACTTAATGTGATGTGAGGTACCTATGCAAGTACTGTAAGAGGAGATAATGAAAGTGTCAGTGTAATAACATCGGGCAACTCCCCACTTTCCTGGAGTGACATTTACTCCTCAGAACAAGTAGAGGGAGAATATTTAAGGGTTTACAATTTAATTTTATGATAGTGCTTTGTAAAATGGCACATTTCTTCCAGTTTTCATGTGTTCACAGCAGAAAATCTCTGTGGCTGGTCTGCAGGATTGTTCTGATTATTTTTCTTACCTTCCCTGAGATGGTAAGGCCTGATGGCAGGGCAAGGTGCCCCTGAGGGTTCAATTTAAGGGCGTGCCATTTTAAGTCTCTCTTGCAATTGAAAATTGTGATTGTTTCCTAACCGCATGGGTAAGGAAAAATGCAGTGAGGTGTAGCTGCCCTTTGGAAATGTGGGAGCATGTCCTTGGTGGTAATGGTTACTGGAGGCTAATGCTGGCATTAGTGGGCACAGGCCAGGAATGTCAAGTGGTTCCCTGCCACACAGGATGACAGCAGTGCCCCTCCACACCAAGAGCAATTCCACTGAGAAACACTGACCAGCTGAGAGGGGTCTGTGGGCAAGGAGACCAAGCCTGTCTTTGATAGTTTTAGAGCTAGAACGAAGACCAAAGTACGGGGCAGGGAGAAGTGACAGAGCAATATGTTAAAACATGAAGAAATAAACAACTTGAGCCTTTGTGGATTGGGCTGCTTTTCAAAGAAGTGGTAATTTCCCTGACACTGGAAGCACTGGGTAGAGGGAGAGGAAAAGGGGAGGGCTCTGTTTAGTGAGGTTATAGAGATGGCTGTCCCAGGGGTGAGAAGTTGGGCCAGATGATATCCAGGGCTGCTTTTATCCCAAAGGTGCTAAAATTTCATGAATTTTCAAGTTATATTCAACATAGATGATGGTGAGTCAGCAAACCAGTTTCATTTCCAGGGGAAAATTTTTCCTTGAACATTGGGAGAAGAACTCTCCTTTGAGACATTACTTGAAAAAGTATTTTAATAAAGAACAGAAAATGTGTAAAACATCCAACTTGAGTACTACTTCGAGTCTTAGGAATTTAACTCTAAGTTTCTACTATAACTAGATATTTAATTAGAGCTAAATGATTTGCAAGGGTTTGTGTTGGTTTTGATGACGTTCATACTTGGGGTGAGGCCCTAATGGAATCCTTGACTTACCTGGGACACGTGAAGCTTTCTGGCAGTGTCTGAGAGTTCACTAAGGTCAGCCCAGGGTGAGAAGATTGTTCTGACTCCCATTTGCTTAAGTAGCTCATGCACCTTGTACTTCTGATCAAGCTTGAACTTTGGAAAGAAAACTTCCATTTCTCTGTGGTGTACAGATAATGGTGAAATACAGACAAAGCTATGGTATACTAATGCTAGAAAGGTCGTGCTTCCCCCCTTCCTCCAAGATTATTTCCATTAAGGAGTCTCCTAGTTATGAGATATAGTTCAAGTCGCCACTCTCCCTCTCCCGCTCCCCTGTGCTCCCCCTCCCCCTTCTTCCTTCACCCAAGGGTGCAGGCACTCCCCAGAGAGAGACAGAGTAAGAGAAAGCACCACCCACCCTTGGAGCATGGCCACACCGCAATCCCTTCTCCATTTCTCTGTCCTGTACGGATATGGGGCATGTACACACACATGCTCTCAGTGTGGTTTTCACGCTGCCAGGACTAGGACTTGAAACATGACCCACTATGTGGGGTCTGATTCCCTTAAGCACTAGGCTATTGCAGCCAGCCCTCAAACCATTCTTTGGTAATGATCTACCTCAGAGAAAATATTTCTGGCTTATCAAATATCACTTCAGCTTCAGCGAACCAGTTTTATTTCTCAGCCAATGACTTATAGTCTCCTTAGCAAAGAAGGCCGAACTGTGCGCCCATTTCCAAGGTTTTAAAAGCAACCCAAACTAACCCACTAGCAGCTTCTAGTAACACTGCAGATTCCTTGTGGCTGTTTTCAATCCCTAGGTCCTGCAGACCCCCAGGAGAACCCTTGAGTCTGGGATCGGACAGGGAGAGAGGAGTGAACGGAACTTTCAACCTTCTACCCAATTTTAGCCAGAAGAACTTAGATATTACCTATTTTATATAATGGCATTCTCCTTCGAAAATATGCAATTTGGGAAGATGAGTTCTGTAGCTCCAAAAAAAGGCATAAAAAGTAATTGATAATAAATGAGTTTGGAAGAAATCTCAATTTCTTAATTTGTGAAATGTAGCCCAGAATGCAAATATCAACTTCCCAGGATTGTTCGTAGGAATAATATATGCTAAATGCTCAGAACAGTGTCTGGGGTACAGCGGGGCTTGCTCAACACGAATTCCTGCCCACTCACTGTATCCCCTCTATTCTCCCCCTATTACAGAATTGGGCCTGGCTTTCAGAAGGGGGTGTAACTGAGGATATGGCATATCTTGAAGATTAATTCATCGGTTTTTTTTTATTAAGCAGGCATTTGTTGAGGGCTTCTTGTGTTTGAGGTCCTTTTCATTAAAGATTTGAAGAAAATGAAAGAAGAATAATGAAGATAAAACTAAAACCAGGGACTTTCAGCTGGACTCAACTCAAAGCCAAAGTCTGGGTTGACAGGCTCAGAAGGCTTAGCTTTGGAATTCTTGTCGCAGCTCCCTTCCTCACGCTCCAGTAGACAGGTTTCCCGTTCTGTGCATCCGACTCCTCTCTGCACAGTGCCCACTAGGCAGTCCCATCCTGTGTCCTGGTTCTCAGTCCCAGCGAGAGGTTCACGATTCCCAGATTTGCGTCTTCAGCCCGGACCTCGCCCCAGGCTCGAGCCAGCTGCCGTCTTGACTGCTCCTCCTGGAGGTCTAATAGATACTTCTCATCCACACGCTTGAGACTGACTGTCAGCTCCTCCCCAGACCTAGTCCCCGCGTGTTCTTTTCCATTTGAGTAAGTGACAACTCTGTCCTTCAGTTGCTAAGGCCAAAAACTGCAGTCACCTTTGGCCACTATCTTTTTCCGCTTTCTCTCTCTCACTGCTAACCCTACCAAGTCTCATTTCCCGTTAGATCCAGAATCCAACTATAGCTGGCCCTCCATGCCCGCTGGTTCCACATCTGTAATGCCGCCAACCATGGATCAGAAATATTTACAAATAATAATGCAACAATAAAAATAGTGCAGTGTAACAGCTGTTTGTGTAGTGCTTCCATGGTACTCAGTATTACAAGTCACCTAGAGACGGTTGAAAGTATGTGGCGGATGTCCATAGGTTATATGCAAATATGCCACTTCACATAAAGTATTTGAGCATCCTCAGATTTTGGTGCCCACTGGGGTACTTCTCATCACCTCCACTGGCACCGCCACGGTCCAGGCAGTGACGTCTCCATCCGGATGACTACAGTAACCTCCCGGCAGTGCCCTTGCTTCACTAGGGTCTTCCCTCAACACAGAGCTTGCGTGATCCCTTGAACAAATGCCAGTCAGCTCCTGCGGCTCTGCTCTGAACCTCTGGTGGCTTCCCTCCTCCCGCAGAAAAAGCCTCCGTGTTTTCCAGAGCCTGTAGGGTGAGGTCTCAGGTGACCAGGCTCCTGGTTTCTCTCTGACCCCACCTGCTGCTGCTAGGAGGAGGCCTGTTCTTCCACTCCAGCAGGCGCATTCCCATCCTAGAACTTTCTCACCCCTCTTCTACCACTTCTCGTTGACACCCACACACGTTATCCTTCAGATGCTTTGGTTACCTTCTTAGCAAGACAGCCCCTACTTCACCCTCATCTTGCTGATGCACCTGGTCCCCATCCCTGCATGATTTCTGGTTGACCCATTTATTGCCTGTCCCCCATCACTAGAGTGTAAGCTCTAGGAAGGCAGGGACTTGGCCTGTTCGGTTTGTGGATGTACCTTGAGCACTAAGCTCATATCACAGCAGGAGAAAGTTCACAAGTCCTAGCTGAGTATATGAATGAACAAGCCAAGCACTGTGACAGATGCTGGGGACTGTGACAGCTGCCGCCCCTGCCCTCAGGGAGCATGCAGCTCACTGGGCTCAGATGCAGCACCGGCAGTGCAGTCAGGGTCCCTGGGGTGGAAGGTGAGTTTGTGAGGACGTGGGGAAGAGCTCTACCTGGTTTGCATGCTTCCGAGCCACGTGTCCACCAGGTCGGTGGTCAGGTAGTCTTCCGGGGCGAGGGGATCGTTCTTTTTCTATGTGAGGATCCCCGGCATGCTGCCGTTTCCTCAGTAGGGCAGTTTGAGCACGTAGCAGTGAAAGTTCTCATAGAAGGTGGAGACAAACTTGCTTGCCCTGAACATCATGGGCACCTGGACCGCCCTGTACTTGTCCGGGTGGAAAGTGTCCACTTCAGTGAAGACGGGTCAAATGGGGCCAGCTATTTCCCTGGGTGGGGAGGAGCAGAAGTCATTGCAGAAACTGCCATCCTCCGTGCTCCATTCGCTCAGGAGTGGATGGAGGGGTCATCCCCTCCCTGCCCCACCAGGAGAGGCACTCCCTCACCGCGTTTGCACTGGCCACAGCACAGGCAGGCAGGATGAACTCCAAAGATCGGCTTGTCCCAGGGTCCCTGCTTGGTGTTGGTCTGAGACCAGGGACCCCTTGCTGACAGCCACACTAGCCACATGTCACAAAGAAGGCCACCAGCTGTCTGCCACGGTGGCCCCCAGGCCACAACAGTTGCCCCGTTGGAGGGAGGACTGGAAAGAACTGGAGTCAGGGTGTCAGAAGCCCCAGCTTGTGTCGGTCCCCACTGTTTACTGCGTGCACTTGGTCAAGCTAACCTCTCAGTCACTCTCCTCCCCTTTAGAAAGGAGACAGCGCCCCTGCCCCGCCTGCTGCATTGGCAGTAGGAGACCACGCGGTCGAAGCAGCTGGTGTGTAGTTAGTGTCACCCGCGTGCTGCCGGGGTCCAGCCTCGGCTTGGGGCGTGGGTGGGTTATCTCGACGAAGGCGGCAAAGGTGAACAGAAGACAGAGGCTTCGATGCCTTTTATGCACGTCCTATGCCGGACACCCCTCAGAGATCGCTCTCTGAGGAGTGATGACTGCTAGGAATCATTGTGCGTTTTTATTGAAAACGTGTTACATGCAAGTAAAGGGAGAGGGGCTAGTGTTTTAATTAACAGCTCATAAAGTTTTTAACAATAAAAAACAAAGATTCTATTTAGGGTTGGATTAAAGGTGGGTCTAGTGCAATTCCTATTTAGGGGTGGATTAAGGGTGGGTCTAGTGCAGTTCCTCAATTGTAGGTGGGTCTCCATGGAATGCAGTTTCGGGAAAGCGGTTCCGGTAAGCAAATGCGGTGCAGGAGCCATCTTGTGATTACTGAGAATGGTGCTGAGAAAAGAAAATCTCAAGAATAGATATTAGTTCTTATGGATCTTAATAAAGAATGATACTTATACAGTTTTGTAGGGATCTAAAACTTAATTTGAGGAATCCTAATATATTTATCTATTTCACTTGGAGAGGGCAGAGGTGTCCTGGGCCAGTTTTGGCCTAATCCTATTTTACATAAAG